GTTTACATGTTTGTGTCATGCTTTGTTGCAAGGTCATCACCAAAGCCAAACTTCCCTATAAGTTGATTTTTTTTTTTCCCAGAAAATTTATGCATTTATCATTGTATTTTTTATGAAATGTAGTACAGGTGTTCCTCAGTTGATGTAGCAAATGTAATACAGGCCCATAACAGTTATCACTTAATTCTTCATTGTAAGAATCTTTGTTACATTTTTCAAATCCCACTTATGGCATGGGGCAAATTTATATAGGACATAGGGGATTTTCTTTCTTTTTGGGTCACCCTGCCTCGGTGGGAGACGGCCGACTTGTTAAAAAAAAAAATTGGGAATTAATGTCAAATGGAATTACGTAAGTGATTTTTTAATGGGTAATAAGCCTACTTAATAGTAGTTGAATAATGAAAGTGTTTCTTTTTGGGTCACTCTGCCTCAGTGGGAGATGGCCAGTGTGTTGGAGCGTGGGATGGAGGAGGAGAATAAAAAAAGCCTATATTAAGTGTTGGATTACTGTACCATATGCAAATCTTATCTTGCACCAAAACTAAGAAACATAATGTAGGAACATTAATGAAGCAAAAAATCCCCTTAATGTAATATAGTTTAATCCTGTCTAGCCTGTATTTGGCATTTATTATCAGTGACGTATATGAATTTTATAATCTTGAGATTGATTTTGGCCAATTTATTGCAAATTAAATTGCTACAATAAATTTAGTATTTGGCAAAAATTATCGTTTCATTATGAGCAAAGTTCACAAGTTCTGGCTATAAAGAAAAAAAAAAGCATGCACATACACTGGGGGGGGGAGGTTGTACCTACTCACATGCACATGTAAACTCTACATGCATATGTACTACATTCATTCATCTATTCCTTTATTTCCATATCTACATTATTGAGGTTTAGCATTCTTATTAGGCACTTCTATTTATTGCTCAAGGTATTTCTCTTGTTTGCAGTTTAATATATGTTCAGGTAAGTACTTACCTTGCATGTGTGTAATTCTTGTGTACAATAAATTTGTTTATACCTGTACTATTTTTATTTATTTTTTTATTCTTTTTTTTATTGTGAGAGCAGATTGCAGAGAGATGAACAAGATTCTGATGACCACCCATACAAAAGAGGTGAGTAAATATGTTTTATTTCATTAATTACTTTGGCATTCCCACTGCTACAGTTCATTTTTGCAAGCAGTGAGGGGACCCAACTAGTCAGTCCTCTTACTAAATGATCAGTAGTTATCTCCGAGTTTACAGAGGGAGGGGAACTCCAGCACTAGCACTGATTTTTCCATTTAACTTTCAGTTTGTAGGTATTTCTGCAGAGAGCACTGTTAGTTTTCAATCCAACTTGTACTAGTTTCCAGAGTACAGTGTGACTATGTATGCATTGATTTGCCCTCAGTATACCAGTTGACTCATAAATATCCAACAAAATACAGAAAATATATTTTTCCAGTGCATTTGGAACATAGTAATGACTCCTAACCCAAGAAATGGTCTACTCATTGACCATAACATGCCTTGAAGTTAAAATGGGCAATTTTTTTTTCTTAAATCTAAGACTTCATTTTATGTTTTGCTACTTTTATCTCTACAATAAAATTTGTTGATTATTTTGAATACAATATTATTTATTCATAAGCATTTATGTTTTATTTCAAAATTTCGTGTTTAATTTACACATTCTTACTCCTGACTCTTTTTGTATGACTGTGTGGCATTTTGGCTTTTCTATAAATATGTAAATCTCATGAAAATTAAAACTAATTTTTTTTTTTCCAGAAAAAGCTTTCAAGAAAGAAAAACAAGATGACCCCAAGGAAAAACATGATTCAAAGAGAGAAAAACAAGAAGTTTTTGATGAGACTGCATTAGATTATGAAGCCATGGATAATGAGGAAGAGGAGGAAGAAGAGGAAACTGGTGATCAGAAAAAAATAAATGGCAGAATAAATGAGGATGAGCCCATTGGTCGTAACCCTTCACCAAAAACAAAAGAAAATGGAGAGTTAAAAGAAGAAAAGGTGGCAGAGGATAAGGATCATAAAAAGGAAAAAGGATTGGACCAAAAGAGAGGAAATAAGGAGCAAAGTGGAAGAAGTCGGTCTCGGGAGCGTAAAGATAAAGATAATTCAAAATCTCACGATAAACCTAAGGATAGATCAAGAGATAGACGTGGTAGATCTCATGATAGAGGTGGTAGAAATAGAGAGAAGCACAATAAGTCCCGAGATAGGAGAAATAGATCTAAAGAAAGAAGAGATCGCTCCAGAGATAGAAATAGTCGGCGAGACAGATCACGAGATAGATCTAGAGACAGGAGGGATAGGTCACGGGATCGAAGGTCTCGTAGTAAGGACAAGGCTCGAGAGAGGAAGAGGCATCGTTCAAAAACTAGCAGTAGTGACAGTGATTGAACAAAGATAATTTGTATATTCTCTGAGTTAAAGTTACTCATTTTGTGACCAGCTTTATTTCTACTGATGTTTTCATGTAACTTGCTTTGTTTTTTCTAAAATAGTTTATTTTAATGTAGCTTGAGATTTCTTTACATACAGTACTAAATATTAAATGTTTCATATCTGAAGAGCCTTGTTCACTATTTGTTCACTTTACGTTATAACAATTCATTTAAAAATTTTATATTCACTATAAACTTTACTATTCAAGGGAATATGTGTCTAGAAAACTATGTCCAGAGTGGAACTAAATTCACTGAAAAATAAGCTTTATTCAAATTACAGGACATCTTGAAAACACTATATAGAGCTTTAAATTCAAGGATATGTGAATTATTAACTCATCTCTTACTCCTCCCTAAAACAGTACCTTCTCTAAAATAAAGTAAACCCTTAGTGAATGATAAGTGAATCTTGTAAAAGTTCACAAGTATTTTTTTTTTTTAAGTATGTCTCTAACATTCATAAGAAAATACAATAGAAGAAAATTGTATAGCTTTAGTAAATATGTTTGTTTATATATATTTAAGGTGATGTATGGCTGGGTTTAATTTTTGAGTTGTGATTACCAAACAGCACATTAGCATCTTCCTTAAATACTCTCTCCACTGTGCTTCTCTTAGTGTTAAAAAATGCATTGTACTTGATAAATGTTGACCCACATTTTTTGAATAATGTACCAGATGAACAATACCTTTTGAAAGCATGTAATTTTATTTCTTGTGCTTCAGGGAATGATATATATATATATATATAGATATATATATATCTTTTGATAGGTTATAAAAAAAAAATTCCAGTAGTAATGTTTTTTAGAACTCAATGGGAGGTATTTTATACCATTTGAATGTTCAGAAAAATAAAACATTAATCCTGGCAATGCGTGGAATGTGTAACTAATTTAGCCATGAAGTAACATTTACTGAGTTTTTATATAGCTATTACTTGCATTCTCATTGTAAAATTTGCTACAAGGGAGGTTCCCTGATGCTTGTGAATGGTTCTTCATCCAAGGAATTGGAATTGTCCTTCCACCCTTGACTGGACCTCATTGCCTCCCATTCCCCAGGTATTGTAGGACTCCTACGGGTTTAGTGTTTCTCCAAAAATAATCATTGTAAAAATAATCTTATACTTTTCATGTATACCAGTACATCTCGTACAAATAAAATAATGCTAAGGTGTACGCTTTTATTTCCCAGTGAATTATATAAGAATTTGTTAGCTTTCAGATGTAAATAGTATGTGCATAATGAGCTTTTCTGGAAAGCAGAAGGTTGGATGGTATAGTGGAAATAACTTGGGGTAAATTCGTTTAGGTTTAATCAGAAACACTAATATTCTGTGCATGTTTTGGGTAAAGTGTTAATGTGTGGTGTGATGTGTTAAATTCTGAGTAGTAAATTTTTTTTTTTTTTTTTTTTTTTCAACAAGTCAATCGTCTCCCACCGAGGCAGGGTGACCCAAAACGAAAGAAAATCCCCAAAAAGAAAATACTTTCATCATCATTCAACACTTTCACCACACTCGCACATTATCACTGCTTTTGCAGAGGTGCTCAGAATACAACAGTTTTAGAAGCATATACGTATAAAGATACACAGCATATCCCTCCAAACTGCCAATATCCCAAACCCCTCCTTTAAAGTGCAGGCATTGTACTTCCCATTTCCAGGACTCAAGTCCGACTATATGAAAATAACCGGTTTCCCTGAATCCCTTCACTAAATATTACCCTGCTCACACTCCAACAGATCGTCAGGTCCCAAGTATCATTCGTCTCCATTCACTCCTATCTAACACGCTCATGCACGCTTGCTGGAAGTCCAAGCCCCTCGCCCACAAAACCACCTTTACCCCCTCTTTCCAACCCTTTTGAGGACGACCCCTACCCCTCTTTCCTTCCCCTATAGATTTATATGCTTTCCATGTCATTCTACTTCGATCCATTCTCTCTAAAGTAGTAAATATGATTGGTTAATATTTACAGCATTGCTAAAGGCATCCAAGCTAAACCAGTTTACAAGTTTATGATCATGATCTTACCTTTGATGCCATGGGTGGGAAACTACGCTTTTCCACGTCTGCATAGGGCACACACATCTCTCTCACGTTTATCTTCCCTCCAGGCTGATGGCCCCACACATGACACAGACTTCCTCTTTGACAGCAACAGATTTATTACACAATCTTTGATTATACTTCCTTTAGCACTCCTCACTGCCCTTACAACCTCTACCCTGCAGCACTGTATAACCCCAGTGGTTTAGCGCTTAGTTTTGATTCTTCTTTCAACAAACCGGCCACACCCCACTGAGGCAGGATGGCCCAAAAAGAAAAACAAAAGTTTCTCTTTTTAAATTTAGTAATATATGCAGGAGAAGGAGTTATTAGTCCCTTGCTCCCGGCATTTTAGTCGCGTTTATGACGCGCATGGCTTATGGAGGAAGAATTCTGTTCCACTTCCCCATGGAGTTAAGTTTTGATTGTAATAATAAAAATGTAGGTACCCTAGTAGTCCTGAATGATCCA